AGCATGGGAAGGCAGAAAGGTGGCTCTAGGCCAGAGCAGAAAGGCGGCTCTGGCCAAAGTGAAGGTGTCGCTGGCAGCCAGGGGAAGAAAGCCCATTCTTGCATGAATCTTCATGCATCGGGCCTCAAATATGTACATATATATTCATATATATGTAATTTTAAATTTTTAAAGCATAAAAATTTACCTTTGGCTCTAAGTAAGTACCTTGTCTCATTCACATAATTCTCTCAGCTTCTTTTATTGGTTTTGATGTGGGTTCTTGGTTCAAGCTTTCTCTAGAGTCTACCCTTAGGTAAATTTGAAGGCTGTACTCTTTGCATATCCTGTATAATAAAAGGCTACTATTTATTGTAAATAGTCCCCTTGACCAGGAATTCAACCAGGAGTTTGACCAGGGCGTGGGGCTGGCCAGCCAACCACCTGTGGCCCCTACCCCTGGCTGGCTACACCCCAGATTGCCCCCCACCCCTGATCTGGGTTGAGGCCAGCCCACCAACTGCCCAATTTTGGCCATGCATGAATTCGTGCACTTGGGCCTCTAGTTAATAATAATCTTAACAAATGAGATTCCTTTAAGGTAATCAGTAAAATACAAATCTAACTCTTTATACACAGTAATTATGACATGTAGAAAACAAAAAAATATATATATATATAAGAAATAGATTGAAAAGCTGAACATCAGAGTTTTTCATTGTGGCAATTTGGTCTTCTCTCCCACTTCAATATTCCTTTTCATCATAATCTTCCTCAAAACTTTCCCTGATCAATACTCCCTTTATCTGACCCTTTTATTGCATTATTTAGGTCCCAAAATCATGACCCCAGAACTCAACCACACCAGAACAAAACCCAAAAAGGTAGTCATTCTCTGCCTACAGCATTAACTTATTTTACTTTATTTTATTTTATGTAAATTTCAGTTGTCATAATCTCTGGCACATTGCAAATAACCCAAACACATTTTCAATAGCTTCACTTAAAATAATGTTTTGACTTTCTCTGATTTGTGTGTCTTTTAAGATTTATCTCTACTCTTCTAAAACAATTGGCCAAAATAATTGTTAGCTAAATAACAACCAGATAAATTCTCATTTATCTTGTACCAGCCCTAAAAAAAAAGTTTTCCTAGAAATTGATTAAAAAAAATAATCACTAAGATATATCCTATAATTTTGAGTAGTTTACCAGCAAATGGAAGTAGAAATAACATATGCGTACAATATGTATATACACATACATATTTAAAAATAAGCATAATATATTATAAATCCAAAGATATAGTATTAATTGAAGTTTCTAATAAATGTCTATTGCATACCTAAACAGATGGACATAATTTATTGGGCATTACAATGAACAAAATTGACAAAATATATGCTCTCATAAAATTCACAGCCTGTTTGATGGAGACAGAGAATAATAATTGTAAGTCGAAAACATGTTGAAAAAGTGGTATTGTTAGGGAGCAAAATACAGTCTTCTAAGAGCATGGGTAAGTCTAGGGAAATACTATAACTCTAAGTAGGGTGGATAGGGTAGACTTCTATTAAAAATAGCATTTTATAAAGAACTAGAAGGAAGTAAGGACAGAAGCTGGGGAAAGGGATGTTCAATGTAAACACATGAGGGCAGAAAGGAACAGAAATGTGCCAGAGGCTGGAGCCCAGTAAACCACTCGGAGAAGAGGTCAAATGAGTATGGAAAAACTTTAAGGACATTCTAAGGATTTTCGTCTTCTACCCTGAGTAAAACGAGGAAGGAATAGCATTTAAAACTAGGGCATAATCATATGGGAAATCATTTTGAAAATATTTAATTTACCTCAATTTTTGGGAGTGGAGGGTACGAGGGCCAAGGTGATAGGACAGAGACCAGTTAATGAAGTTAACTGCTCCTAATTATGCAGAGAAAAAGTACTGTATCAATGTCTTGGGCCAGGGCATGGAAATGGTAAGTAGAGAGATTCTGTGTATAATTTTTAAATGAAACAAATCTAACTTCTTGGATGTAGGATTTGCAAGAAGAAGTAGGATCCAGAACAAGTCTTGGATTGAACTTGGCTTTGAAAGAAAAGGGGAAATACTGGGCTCTCTAGCGTGCTCTGATCAAAATAAACGACTAGATGCTACTACTATTCTACACTGTTGACAACCCACAGGCTGACCTGGTGACTAAAGCAGAAGCCCGAACCTTCTCTGTGGGCCAATACTGCGATCCTTCCAAGCACCAAACGGCCCAGCAGACTGGCCAGGGGATCAAAGGAGATCAAGAGCCTACTTTATTTCAAACTTCAGGACAGGGTGCAATTCTAGCAGATCTGGATGTGTGAGTCTGGGAGGTTCCCTTTAAGGCCACCAATAGCTGCTGCTTGACCAAACAGTCCTGCAGCACCACCCAGTGATGCCCTCCCAGGTCCACACTCAAGGCAGCGGGTGTACATCAGTGCCAGGCAACAGATGGGCATCAGGGTGCCTGGTCGCTGGTGAAGGCATAGACACTTAGGTAAATATATTGATAAGTGAACCCGGAGTGTAGATATACCAAATTCTCAATCCTAAATCATAAATTTATTTTAGACTATTCCACATATCTAATTATTCATAGTGTATATATTGAAGTCTAACAAAAAGTGTCTGGAACTCTTGTGTTTGTGTGAAAGTATCCACTTGACATACTAGTATATAGAGAAACCTCAGCCTAAAAGGACAAACTTATAATTATGTAAATTTTCCTTAATATTTTGTTGAAACTAGAACCATTGAAAATTGAGTAACTTAATCATCATTTCTACTCACCAAAGGTTTATAAATTATTTTATTCACTTATCTGAATATTTAAAACATACAAAAGAATGAGAATAATTTTTCTTTTTAAAAAGTAATAATAATAAAAGTTAAATGCTTTGTTATAATTTCTGAGTGTTTTGATACAATTTTGCCCTTTTTTCATTTTTACTAATAAGGAATTACATACTTATATATAATTTATTATTATATCTCTAGGGCTTAGAACACCCTTTGATTTTTATGATAGAAGCTCAAAATATCTGATGAAAAGGAATAAATGGATGAATACATAAAAAAAAAAGTTCACAGTGGTCTGATGAGTTCAATAACATGACACAGAAAGTTTCCCCACTTCCCATATGAAAAAAAATTGGAAATAGAATAATCTACATATTGGACATTTCTTTAGGAGAGCATCATGCAAAAAAGACTATTGAGGAAATTTAAGCAGGTCATTCATTATAGGCATACTTTTTTTAATTTCAGGGTCTCTATGAAATTAATTATATGTTATCTTCATTAAAAATATATTAGGTATTTGTTATTAAGGACAGTTTTGATATATTGCAAAATGATTTCTATATAATATAATTATTATACTATGAAATAATTCTGCTAATCAATCTCCTTAAAGAGAATTTTTGTAATCATGGTTTGGACAGTGACAGAGATAACTTATACAATTCTTAAAATTTCTAACAGTGGATGACAAATAAAATAAATAACAGAGTAAGTTAATGTCAGTGTGAATGGTATGATGATAATTAATATATTCAAATAAGAACTTTAATTATTGACATCTAATATCAAATAAAATAGCTAATGCTGGAAACTTAAAAACTAATTGTCAATCAAATGAGTATGATATTTTGAATCATAACTAATGTGAAATGCTCTTAATATACACCCTCTTTCGTCATTTTCATTTTTTTGCTGACTTTATTTGAATGGATAATCCTATTGGAATGTTGAGGGTTTTATATTCCTTCAGTTCAGTATATAGGATTAAACCTTTATTTTTCCTTAAAGTTTGAACTTTTTATAGCCAGCCTTCTGGGTACATAAACAAGTTCTTGGAATATACAAAATAAACCATCTTAGGCTTTATTATGATCTAAAGTGCCACTTAAAGTGTGACTGTAATAGGTTTTCTTTCATAATTAGATTACTATGCAAACTCACATGTCTGTAGTCGGATGGATGTGTGAGTTTTCAGCCTGGAAGTTAGGAGAAAGAAAATCATTCAAGGAGATGGAAATAATTAATTCTGCATTAAGGATATATCAATATTGCACTCTGACTCACTCCAGAAGCATAGCGTTCTCACTAATTAGAGAAAACATGAATCCTTGGTATTGTTTACCATATACTTAGCAGGGAATGAGACTTCTTAATGCGACTTCTTAGGGTAGGCCCAGAAAAGTGGTCCCAAATGATGTATAAATGAACTTGTTTGGAGCTTGAGAAAGGAGGGATAAGTTAAAATCCATTGGCCTTAAGATTGGAGGATCTCTAAATAATTAACTGCCAGGTTGGCTTTTGTTGTTGTTACTGTTTGCTTTGTATTAAACCATTCATTGACACAAACATAGACATTTTTGCAAGTAAATAAATATGCAAAATTTGCAAGTAAATTTTTTAAGTAAATAAATATGCAAAAATTGAACATTTTATATAATTGCAATGCTCTATCTTACTGGAATATTCAGCATTATTACTCTCATCACTAGGCATTATCAAAGTCACCATGGGAGGTGAACATATTTTCCATTAAAGGATTATTTCAGTCTGAAACCCATCTGAACTCCATTGCCTATGAACCTCCATAGCAAAAATGTCATACGAAAATAAATGTTTTAATGTTTCAGACATTATTTTAGTGAATATGTACAAAACGAAGTAACCACATTGCTGGCATTTTGGAATATTTAGCATATGGATGTTCATGTTCTAAGTTTGCTTGCATGGGAATGTTTTACATGGTCTACAAATGATTATTACATTTAATTCACACATTGACAAAACTCAATGGAAAAGGCTTTCAATTTGATTCTACATCATACAAATTTGGTCAGAGCTCTAAACAGCAAGGATAATGACTTTGTGTTCTTACCTGTGTCCCATGCAATTTTGTACCAAGATATTTAGCCCGGGGAGAAACCTTTCCTTCCTAGGGGGGGAAAAAAAAAAAAGAAGCTGGAGACAATGTAGTTGTAAAAACTGGTTTATTTTTTAAAAAATAAATACAAAAATATAAATATAAAACATTAGCAGATAGAATTTGATGAAATGAAATTGCACAAACGTTTTTCGTATACCGGGTTGCATATCACACCTACTAACACCACATGTACATTTAATTGAATGTACAGGACAGGATATACCTTCACATGTGTCTTCGCCTCTTTGACAAGCTTCATTTATTTGCAAGGGCAGGGCGTGTATCTAACAGAAGCGGCTTGTCTGTGTGAGGGGTGGCTTAAGGGAGACCTATCCTGTTCACGGTTCTGAAAATTATTACCTTTTATTTCTAAAATGGACACCACTGAAATTTCCATAGCTTTGGCTCTTGGAAGTGATTAAATAAAATGCCGTATATATTCCAATGAGACATCCTACGGGGGAAAGAATTAATGTGATTAAGGAACAGATTTAAGAAAGCAAATAGGGGTGGGGATAGGGGGGTGGGGGGGGATTGTGCTGCGTGGCAGGAAACCTCTCCTGGATGTCAAATACTGCGAAGTGGACGCGCTGTTGGCCAAGCTGACTTCCTCTTGTGGGGACAGACAGAAGCGGTCCCCTGGGTTAGGAGTCCTTGTCGCTCTCCCCGCCGCCGTACATCTCCGCCAGCTTGTTGAAGCGGGGGCCCCACTCCCGGAGGAAGTCGTAGCTCTGGTCGCCGTCCGTGGTGCCCGAGTCCAGGGAGCTCAGGGACTCGGCCACGGAGTCGTTGCCCTCGTAGGCGTAGGTGGCCAGCGAGTCGTAGGGCGGCGCCGTGGGGTCCAGGTCGTGCTCCTGCAGCCGGTCGTGGATGAAATCGCGCACGTCCGCGTTGTCCGGCGCCGTGGGAGTCCTCCGGGGGATGAACAGCGTCTCCGGGAGGATGTCCCGCCGCAGCTTCTTGTCCTCGATGGCCGCGGGGTTCCGCAGGGTGCCGATGTCGAAGGCCTGCGTGTCCTCCTCGCCGCCGCCCTCGTCGTTGTAGCTCACGATGTTGTCTCGGATGTCCTCCTTGGACAGGATCAGAGGCTCCTTCTTCCGCTGTCTTTTCAGGGCTGCAAACAGCACGACGATGACTTGAGAGAGAAAAGAGAAAAAGATACATTAAAGATCCATCTACAAACCCATATAAAGAACGAGCGGTAGGAATGCAAAGGAGTTTAAGTAATGGGTTTTCCAGGACAGGTTAGAATTTAAGATTAATTTTGTACTTTTTGACCTTTTTTTTTTAATTTTCTTTTTATAGGGGTATTCATGGATTTAAGCTAGGATGGGTAGAGTTTTAAGTGCCTAACTTATTTTTAAAAACCGTTTCTCAAATCCAGTGGCTTATTTTATCTTCCTAAGAACTGTTCAAAGGTAGTTCTTGACTGTAGAGGCATTATGTATACTTTGCATTAAGTAGTGGCATAGGTGTTATATTTCTAAAATTGACACAAATTAAATTCAGCTTAAAATGAAACAAGAAGGGCAAACATATGTCCACGTTTTTTGTTTTACATCCTTATATATTATTTAAAAAGGCAGCATTGCCTGGCCAGTGTGGCTCAGTAGTTGAGCATACAGCCATAAACCAGAAGGTCATGTTTTAAATCCCAGTCAGGACACATGCCTGGGGTTGTGGGCTTGATCCCCAGTAGGGGGCATGCAGGAGGCAGCCAATTGATGATTCTCCCTCATCATTGAAGTTTCTCTCTCTCTCTCTCTCTCTCTCTCTCTCTCTCTCTCTCTCTCTCTCTCTCTCTCTGAAACCAATAAAAACATTTTTTTAAAGGCAGCATTTTTCACAAGAAATGGAGTACTGGTTTCTGTTTTCTGTTAAATAGCTTTACTGATGGATTTGCATATATGTTTCCCCCCCTAACGTGGTAAAAAAAAAAATAACTTACTTGCTAGAGGGAGAGGAGCAGGGAATGGCCACATTACTTAGACATCGCCAGTTTAGAAATTATGACTTTTCCATGGAAATATATATCACACATGAGATAAAAAATAATTGTTGGATCACATGATGGCAAAGGGAGAATTAACACATTGAATTAACTACAAAAACCTTGGCCAGATGCATCTTAAGTGTAGTCCACAAGTGGAAATGTGCATCCCTCAATGTGTATCTCTCATTCCAGAACAAGGTATGAATAATATTTAAATCAAAGTAGTAACAATAGCATAAAAGTAGAATATAGATGATATCAAATTCCATCTGGTTGTATTCATTTCCCATCCTCAATTTGGTCATGATCTTTTAAAATGAAGTTTTGAAGAAACAGAGGTAAATTCAATTAGATGAGGAAAGGAAGGATAAATATGTTTCCAGGAATATGCATGAAGAAATATCTTTGTAGTTAGCTTCTTATAACAAAGATTTAAAGAACATGGAATTTATCAGTTATGAATGGAATGTGTCCTTTCCAAATGCATGTTAAAGCCAAAAACCTCCATGTGGTGGGATTTGGAGGTGGGGTGTTTGGGAGGTAAGTGAGTCACAGGAGTGAAGCCCTCATGGATGGGATTAGACAGACGAGATCATTACTTTCTGCCATGTGAAGACACAAAAGATAGTCATCTGCAAAGAAGGAAATATGCCCTCAACCAAACAAAGAGTCTGCCATTGCCTTGAACTTGGATTTTAGTCTTCAGAACTGTGAGGACTAAATTTCTGTGATTTAAGCTATCAGTCTGCAGTGTTTTGTTATAGCAGTCCAAACTGACAAAGACAATTATATTATTTTTGAAGTAGTATTATGTTTTCTCGTGTTGACATAGAATGGTCAGACTACTTGCCCTAAAGCTTATGTAAAAGGGCAAACAGGAGACTGTTCTGATACAACAAAAAAGAAAAACTTAATCCATTGATAAACGTTTTTGACCTTCAAAGTGATTTAAAAATTAGGACACTTCCTGTAGAACAAAAATATTTATTCTTCAAGTTTGGGAGAAACTATGACATTTATTTTGCCTAAATTTATGTATTCATATGCACACCTAAATGTTGATTAACATTTTTTAAACTTTAGATTGTTTGTCAACCAAATAATCTTACCCAGAAAAAAAATATTCTAATAATGAGGATATTGAAACTTACTAAGATTGGCTCCAAAATCCAACTTCATTTCACTGCTTCTTAAAACATCAGATACAGTGTTTTTGATTAGGGGCACAGAAATACTCACATAGTTTTAAGATAATGCAATTACAGAGTAATTTAAACCTGATTGTTAATTCAAAAAGCAGTTAAAAATCAATTTGCTCTAGGTTATAAAATCCAGTATCCTTGTTTTATGGACAAGTGAACCAGGTAAAAAAAGGACTATTTGAACATCATTTCGGTGAAGAGGTAAGATAGTGGGACCCCCATCCAGCCATAAAAGAAAAAAAAGGTGGAAATAAACTTTAGATGTACTAAAAAAATTATACATAGAGTGACTAACCACTAGCCTTGCCTTGGTTCAGCCACTCAGAAACTGTGAACCTGCCGAAACCGGTTAGACCCAGTGGATAGGGTTTTGGCCTGTGGACTGAAAGGTCCCAGGTTTCTTTCTGGTCAAGGGCATGTACCTTGGTTGCGGGCACATCCCTAGTAGGGGGTGTGCAAGAGGCAGCTGACCGATGATTCTCTCTCATTAATGTTTCTAACTCTCTATCCCTCTCTCCTCCTCTCTGTAAAAAAATCAGTAAAATGTATTTAAAAAAAGAAAGAAAGAAAAAAAGAAACTGTGTGACCTTAGAAAACATTTTGAACATCTCTAATTTTCAGTTTCATTATTAAAAACAAACAAACAAAAAAGGGCGGTGATAACTCTGATCAGATAACATATATTAATGTAAGCAACATTCCATGGGTTATTCATATCTAAAACGTTGGGGTTAGTTTGGGGAATGTATTTTAATAGCAACATTTCTTGCTTGGAGGTACATTACAGTAAGGATCGCATGTCCCGGCGGCCTCTCACCCAGCAGGATGATGATGCAGAGCAGGATGGCGATGAGGGCGCCGGTGCTGAGGCCGGCGGGCAGCAGCAGGGCCTCGGCGCTGCAGGACTGCATGTTGCCTTGGCCGTCGCAGGCGCACACGCGGATGGTCAGCGTGCCCGTGCTGCTCTGAATTGGGTAATCATTGTCTGATATCACCACCGGCAGGAGATAGGTACTTATTTCGTGTCTATTGAATCCATTTTTTCTGGTTAAAATCCGGGCAGTATTATCTAAAGTAAATGTTAAAATAGTACAAATGACGTGGAACAGTAAAAACAGATCATCCGGATCACCATGGTTTTAACATACAAATAAAGCAATGTTTATGGGAAATATAAAACTAACATCCATTTTTCCTATAAATTGTATGCAAGGCAATTAAAATACAGATAAGATAAAGGAGATAGGTCGAGGAATCCAACACTATGATCGCCAATATATTAGATTCCCAACTAATTCTCAGATGTTTTCAAAAAATGGTGAATTTTTGTAACTGAATCATTTATCAAGACGACATAGATAATAGCATAGTTTTCAGAAACAAATATTATAAATACCAAGCAATTAAGCAAATAAGAAATCTTAGTAAATGTTTCTTATTTACAATGAGCATATGTGTCTACACACACACACACACACACACACACACATTAATGCAATACTGGTACAGAAATAAGATTGGGTAAAATTTCATAGCAGTTACACTTTTAAAGTTAATAATGTAGTCAATAAGTTTATGAGTCTGAGTCCCAATCAATATTTTTCAATTTTGCTTTCCACCCATTAAAATGAATATGCTACATAACTCAAAGTATTGGTGTAGCTCAAAGACCATTGATCTCTAGTGTCTAAAAGACATACAGGAAAGAGTAGGTAGTGGGATGCTGGCCTTTCTTAAACCCTTCACTATTCCTGTAATTAATTTAACAGACTTATGAAAAAAAAAAAGAAAAGTTCTAATTACATACTTGTTTAGACTAGACCAATTACCATACATATTCTCAAAAAAAAATACTAAAGCTGTACAACTTTTTTTTAAATAAAAATAGTAACCATTAGCATATCCTGTTCTTCTAAAATATGTTTCTAATGTTTTTTGTGAATGCAAAAAATAATTTCAGTATTTTTGACCACAGAGACATTATAAAACTCATGTTATGCAGAAGAATAGTATATCTTGCTCTTGCAGTTACACTTTGGCATTCTATCCCTTCACAGCGCCAGGCTGGTGTGGCTCAGTGTGGAGCATCAGCCTATAAACCAGGAGGTCATGGTTTGACTCCTGGTCAGGGCTCTATTCCCATATGAGAAGTGCAAGAGGAAGCTAATCAATGTCAAGTTAATGTTATTTCTCTTTCTTCTCATTCCTCTTGGTGTGTCCTGCCCTTTTTATTAAGGGAACTGATTATTTATATTGTTTTCAAGATTCAATCTTTTAGCTCAAACCGGTTTGGCTCAGTGGATAGAGCATCGGTCTGCGGACTAAAAGGTCCCAGGTTCGATTCCGGTCAAGGGCAAGTACCTTGGTTGCGGGCACATCCCCAGTAGGGGGTGTGCAAGAGGCAACTGGTTGATGTTTCTCTCTCATCGACGTTTCTAGCTCTCTATCTCTCTCCCTTCCTCTCTGTGAAAAATCAATAAAATATATTAAAAAAAGATTCAATCTTTTAATTAAGACTCATATAGAGCCTAGACCGGTTTGGCTCAATGGATAGAGCATCGGCTTGGGGACTGAAGGGTCCCGGGTTCAATTTCGGTCAAGGGCATGTACGTTGGTTGCGGGCACATCCCCAGTAGGGGGTGTGCAAGAGGCAGCTGATCGATGACTCTCTCTCATCAACGTTTCTAACTCTCTATCTCTCTCCCTTCCTCTCTGTACAAAAAAAAAAAAAAAAAAAAAAAGACTCATATAGAGACTTTTTCACATATTTCATTATTATAAAATTTAAGAGAGTGAAGAAATTACCATAATATTTCATTAACTATTTGATAAAAACAAAATTTTATAATCCAGATCAATATATTAATATCATGTATACTGTTTCTTTGGGTGAATTTTTTGTTAATGTCGCCCAAAATCACAATGAACACATTATGTTCTCCAATTTACCTTCATTGTCCTGTACGGTGAAGTTTGGATTGACAGCAGCTAAACTGAAGAAAAATTTCTGTCCACCTAAAGGGTCGTCTTTGTCTACTGCACTAATGGTCTGTATGAGCTGAAAAAGAGAGAAAAATGCACATTTCTCAAACTTCCACTGGTATTATATGCCTTCTACTATGTAATTTTTGACATCCAATGTTGTCTAAAATATTTTAAAGACATTGATTTTCTCACACATTTATCTTTATTTGAATTATTTCATCATTTTTATTATTACTTTGATTTTTTTAACAAAGTCTCTATCTTTTCTCTCTCTTCCCCTCTCTCTCAAATTTTCTTAAATACTATCCATTCTTTCCAAATAAAACATGGTGATATTATATTCTTGGCAATGTTATTAATTTAGACATAGGATTTGAAGTATGTAGGTTATTTCAGATATATTTAAACATTGATCCGGAAGGATATATTTAGTTTAAGAACGTATTTTTAAATTTATTTTGATTATGACTTTTCTCCTCAGTAAAGTAAAAAGATATTAAAAACGTACAACATAATACATACCTTTTAAAAAAAAACCACAAACATTTTATTATCTACTTTAACAGTAACCATTCACTACATCTTTACTGTCTATAAAATTGTATATTGTTAAAATCCAACATATACATACTATGGGGAATGGTTATTTTACAAGGATTCACTCTGGATTTTCTGCTATAAGAGACAACAGAAGAAGCTACCTGCTAACAAAGAAAATTCCACCTTAAATTATGATCAGATCATTGCTTTGAACATGATTTATACTAAAAAGTAGATGAGGAAAAATTGACACAAATAAAATAACATATCAGGAAATATAGTAGACCAATAAAAAGATTAATAGGTTAACACACAGAGAATGTGAAAGTAGAACTAATGATCTTTTAAAATAAAAACTATGATGTCTCACATTTATGGACCAAAATAATATATTTTGAAGAAAAGAAAAAAGCCACATTTTTACACATAACTGTAAGAAATTATAAATATTTACTTAAGAATTCTAAATTAAAATGTATTCTTGTAATAAAAGATAGTAGCATTATAGATCTTAAAATCAGTGGCTCACTGGTATATCTCCATTAAGTGCTATGAAGGAAGGAAGCGAAGCTCATATTAACAGCACAAATAAGACAGAATCACATGTTAAAAACCTATATCAAATTACAATACATTTTTATGGCCCCAATACTTCTCTATTGCAGATGGAAGAACTTACTTCCTTTTCAGAATTTTTTTTTTTTTCCTTTGAGAGGGCCTGGAGTTTAGATACTATGGATGGGTAATATAAGCAACACGCCTTCCTGGGAATTCTCCTATGAGATTGAAATGCTGTTTCCTTCCCATAGAGATTAAAAATTGTTAAAATATGTTTAACTGAATGAAAGTGTGAGGAAAAACTATAAAAAAGAAAAAAAAGAAAAACATCAAGTCCTCTCTCCTAAGGTTCCTACTCTCTCTCTGAAAATCAATGGCCTAGTTCAGAAAAAAAGAAGGGAATATTAATACTACATCAATTCTAAGCAATATCATTCCCAGGCTGGACGCGGGGAGGTATTCTCTACCCTTACAACAAAGAGTAGGCAAGGAAGTGGCTGTAGGTGGCACTTAGCTTTCTTTTTCTCATTTTGTTCCAATATCAAGTGAATGGAATTCTTTCCCATGTTGTTGTTCCAAATGCTGTTCTTAAGGGACACTTAGTTCAGGGGAGTATGGAGTGGAGTGAAATACTCCATTAAATACAGAAGTCCTAACATGGCTCTTACTCCTTTGGAAGAGAAAATACAAAGTTAACAAATGAATTTCTAGAAAGGATCAGTGAAGGAGGACTTCACCAAATAACCACTTTGATTTTTCCAGGCTGGGATTTCAGAACTTAGAATTCCATCATTGGATATGTAACAGTTTAGTTTAAGCAATGGTCTTTAAGCCTATGCAACCAAAATGACGTCTAATAAACTGGTCTTATTAAAAACTAGAGGCCCAGCGCACAATTAAATCATGCACATGTTGGGTCCCCTGGGCCTAACGTGCCCTCAGGTCCATGTCTGCCACCCCGTGAAGCCCGAGACACCCCAGCAGTCCCTCCACCAGAACTGCTGCAGGACCCAGAAGTCTGGCCCGCTGCAGCTGCTGTGGACCCATCAGTGCACCTCCTGGTGAGTCCTGTAGCTGGTTGTGATGCCGTGATGGCAGCACGACCACAGGCCTTTTATGATATAGATTAGAGGCCCAGGGCAGGAAAATTCTGCACTCGGGGGTCTCTCAGCACAGCCTACATGCTCTCACAATCCAGAACCCCTCGGGGAGGGTCCAGTCCCGGCACAGCATGGCTCTGGTTCCCTGGGCCTGCGGGCTAGGGGGAAGAGGAGACCCAGGGGCCAGTCTGATGGCAGCGTGGCTCCCTTCCCACAGCTCCCTCCTGCCACCACGGGTGGCGGGGTCCCAGGTCTGACTCCCACCATGAGATGCTGGGACCCAGGACTGACTTATTCCATGCCACCGGGACCCTAGCCTGGTGTTTGGTCATCCAAATGGATATTTGGGTCATTATGAACCTTGGGTCATTATACATTAGGATAACTGCCATGAGCCCTGGCCGGTGCGGCTCAGTTGGTTGGGTGTCATCCCATGCACCAACAGGTTGCCAGTCCAATTTCTGGTTGGGGCACCTATCAGGGTTGTGGGTTCGATCCCCAGTAGGGCATGTGTATGAAGCAGCTGACTGATCTTTCACTCTCACATTGATGTTTCTCTCTGTGTGTCAACTCTCCCTTTCTATCCATCTCTCTAAAAATCAATTGTAAAAAAATATTAAAAATAAAAAAATATATATATAAATAACTGCCAGGAGAGACTATTGCACATGCAGCCAATTAGACAAAATTTATTAATCATGTTCTTCCTATCCTGTTCATAAAAATTGGCTAACTTACTTTTTATTAAAGTCATCTTTGATTTGATTATATTTTCCTTCTGTATACCAATTGCTTTTTTAAAGTCCGAAAATATAAAGTCACTGAGCTAAAGTTAAAAAAGAAAACATAAAGAAAATAAACAACCACAATCTCTCTATCTGCATAATTTGAATACATTTGTAAATAAGTATTTATAATGACTCAAATATTCTGAAAAGATATCTCTTGAAAATAAAATAAAATAACCGTAGAGGAAGTAATGTATGCAGCAATTGCAAAGTGGGTATTTTATCTATTAGAGAAAAAGCTTCATCTTCTATCATGCTGAGCCTGGCAAGCAGAAAACTATTTGCAATAGTATTTTTAGGGCACACACTGTTTCATTAAGAAGTAGGTCGGAAGTAGTTAAGTGACTTAAATATTTCAAATTAAACATTTCCATAATACTTTTAAATTAAAAAAATGCATCAGATTGAACAAATTTTAGCATTTCAAATAATGGACCGACAATTGAATTCCTGTTACAATCTTCAGAAAGAAGTATCTCAGTTATTCCACAAAGTAATTTACATAAAAAATATAACAATGGCATTGATGTCTATAAAGAGCATCAGATGATGTCAAAACACCCTACAGTTTTATCATGGCTCCTCTTTCTTTAGTGAAACAGATTTGACTCCCAATTATTTATAACATGCAACTTCCTTCTGTGAAGCTAGCACTTAAACCAATTAAGAGCATTTCTTCCAGCCATATACTCTGGAGCTTTTTAAAGTACAAAATGAGTCCACTGAGGACGAGGCATAAAGTTATAAACAAAGCTGATGCAGGAAGAATGTTTTAAAGGGTGAAACGAAGTCATTAAGCAGTTTATGTGTTGTTATAATGATGAAATGCAAGTGTAAGGTAAGGAGAAAATTCCTCAGCCCCACTTCAAAACCATGGTTGCAGACGTTGGGAAAAGTGGATGAAATGTTCTGCCAATCCCATGCACTTGTCTGTGTTTTTCTCAACTTTTATTCCCAATCTCTCTATCAGTTATCAATATTTATCTAATGGAAGCCACAGAGGTTTTCCTTTTTTTTTTTTTTTTTAATCTGCTTTTTTTTTTTTTTTTAACTTTTAAGAATCTGAAGTTTTTATTCTTACACTTTAACTTTTGTGGCAACAGTAACAACATATACATTAGAAATTTACTGTTATTTATAACATCTTCAGCCTTAAAAACATGAGCATTTGTTTGTTTTTAATTATATGACTGGCACTTTAAATGAGTGTGTGTGTGTTTTTGTTTTGTCTTGTTTTGTTTTTATCTCCACTTTCTCATTCCTCTCAAGATCGGGAAAAGAAAACATTTAATCATGTCGTTAAAAATGTTCCTATGTTTAAACCCTGGGAGTACTCACCTGTCCTGGTCTGGCATTTTCACATACGAAGGTGTCATAGAAGACAGCAAATTGTGGGGCATTGTCATTAACATCCAAGATTCTCACAAAAACAGCCACACGGGTCATCTCTTTGGGATTGTCTAGAAAAGGGAAAGAAAACATTTGTTTAGAAAGACACAGTTTGCATTAGATTTATTTATATAAGCATCTGTGGATACTAAGTGCTCACACACAAATAAGCATCCTGGCAATTCTACTAACATAATGAGCAAATGCAATAAAGACAATTACTAAGAGCCTAATTATATAGTCAAGAATTCAGTTATTATTGGGCTCAAGTGTACTATTATTTTGGAAAATATTTTTAAAAGCACAATGCAGTGTAATTGAGTTCATATTATAATTGTGGCTTGCAATCCAAATATATATATCAAGAACAAATATTTAATAAAGCTTTATTAGACATCATTATATTACTTAATCTTTCCTGATTTTTTTCCTGATTTTTTTTTAGTTGAAGAAGTAGTTTTTAATAAATTAGTAACTCCTAAGTGGTAGCTGTTACATTACAACTTACCTGTCTACTTTTTGTCACTAAAATGTATTCCAATAGCTATTCTCAACTCTCCTTTTTGAAATTTTTATATATAGCTATTAATTTTACAAATTAGATAGAAATTTACAATGAAATTTATTTTATTAATATAATTATTACTAGTACTGTTTCAACAATCTAGGCACAATTCTGTGTAACAAAATTAGCTTAGTGGTAACATACAGTATTGTAATTATTATTGTTTTCCTACAAATGCTAAAATCAAGAGCATCAATATTTTCACATAAAAAACATGCACTTGAAATTGTTCCAAAAATTCAAAAAATGGAATTTTACAATAGAAATGTCTATTAAGCTTAGTCTTGGCTAATAACCTAATATCAATCATAATTACATTATCTTCACTATAGATTTTTTTCTAGATACTTGTACTGATATCTGAGAGCATTTTGACACTTTAAATTCAGGTTATATTCATCAGCCTTCGTGATATCAAAATATGTCTTTGGATATGGTTCAAATTCTGTGTGAACTTTGGTGAACTTAAGCTGAAGATCAATATAAAAGAAGAAAGGAGATAATTAGCTAAAAACAAAGCAAAACAAACAGACAAAGAGCAGATGAGCTGCAATCTTATTTAATGGCCTCTACCAACATGCATTATGAGTGAAATTTATCTGACTTTCTAATTCTATCTAAATAATTTTTAGGTACAAGGGTAAATGTACTGTCACGGGCAAACAGGGAGTGTACCACTATTCAAAAGAATGTATTTCTTCTCCCTTCTCTCCATGTAATTATAATGTTGCTAAAATAAAGAGATCAGCACTTTTAAAAAATATTGGGAAGGAACTGATTACTCAGCAGGGACATTTACAAGGCTGAAATAGTATGAAGGCAGGCAGGCAGAATGCCAAGTCCATGTTGAAGTTTATGTACTTTTCCTTCTTATTTCAAGAGAACTCAAAGGCCTGCTCTCTTTAACGTGCAGTCTAACCTCAGTCTTCTTCTTCTTCTTCTTTTAATTTTTTTTAAATTTATTTACTTATTTATTTTTTTATTAAATTATTATCTTTGTACATATACCATTGCCAACCTGTCTTCTGAACCCACATGTGTTCAGTTCTCAGGTTCTGGTTTCATCTAGTCTATTGCTGCATATTTTACTTCTCATTGTGTCGAGTGATTATAGAGTTCCGATCCTGGGGCCCAACAGAGAGTTGCTTTGATTCCCATGTCCACCATTCATTTCCTGTGTGACCCTGGTCAATTTACTCCATCTCTCTAATGCCGCAGTTGACTCAACATGAATCAAAATAGGACTTCTTATAGAGTTTTTTGAAAAATTAGATGAGTTAATGCATGAAACTTCTGATCAGAGTTTCAGTTTGTTGGTATTGACTGTTGTTATTAAGATCATCTCTATTATCATAATCACATCTTTTTCATTTCCTTACTTTACTTAAGAGCTTATGGTCTTTCTCTATACAAAGCATCCACACGATCAAACTACAATAGCTTTCCTACAATGCATGTGGTTTTGAAGAGGGGAAAAGTGAAGAGAGGAGAAAAATGCTTTTCCACTACTCTCCACCTTCTCCTGCTTGTAGACCATTTGTTAACACCCAGAGGCACAGTGCTCACCTGCACATGAACCCTTGACTCCCTAAAGTTACTTGGAGAAGAGTGGGAAGGGATGATACTTTCATGTTTCCTGGAACATGCTCGTTAAACTACTTACATAGTTAGTGGACATAGCAATATTTTTTCTTGCAAAGTCTTGACCTAAAAATAAGTCTTTTGTGGGTAGCAATTATCTTTCTAACTATGCCACAGAGCCAAGAGAAAGAGACAGTCTCATATCTAAAAAGCTGCATCATTATGTCAGTTTCCTCTCTAACAATGCAGGTGTGGACAAAGGTAGCTTTACAGTTGCCATACAAACAAATCACACAATAATTAATTAAAAATATATAGGAATAAACTCAGTGTTCTACGTGTTCACAACTGTGAGCCTGCTTTTTCCACCCCCTGAAGGCAGAGATTCTCTGGGCTCTTCACAAATAACTCAAGCCTTTTCCAATGAAAAGCCAAATCCACAGGGGGAAATGTGCTTTGTAATGCGTCAAGCCTCGAGTTGCCTATTCTGAAAAGCAGTTTTTGCACCGATTCTTCCTCCTGGCATATGCTGCAGCCTATGAATAAGTAAAAGTATAAAGCATTCCCAGGAAGCAGCACACTGAAGAGCAGTGGCATGTATTTACCACCTGAGTCTTTCAGTCATCAAGGCAAAGTCTGTTGTAGCAAGACTCTATCAGCAGTCAAGAATCTTAAAATTATGTCCAAAGCTGAACCTGTACCTATGTATCCACAGGCTTTTCCATACCTCTCAGAAGAGAAAACCAAATCATTATCAAGAAATCTCAGGCTTTAGGGAAATACATCTTTTCTATCTGCTTAGGGCAAGACTTTCCACTAATAAGGAACTAAGTATAGGTAAGAAGTCAGTCCTTCAGCATAAACTTTGCTCCACTGTCCTCAGAACATATTGCAATGATTATTGTTAAAATTTCAGATGTGGTGGAGGAATTCATGGGTCTCTACAGTGATGTGTCCTATTATCCCTGATTGTGACCTTAATTTTAGGATTTTTATTCTTCACGTGGCATCTAGAATAATTTTATAAAGAAGAATCAGGTAAGTTATTCATGGTATACTGCACTAAATAATTACCTGAAGTAGCACTTGCCATATGATGGGATATACTGCTGGGACTGCAGAATTAAACGGTTACAGGAAGAGCCTGGAAACACATCCGTAAGAAGTACATTTATCTGTCATTCTGCCCTGCTTAGGGCATGGTGTATGACACGGTTACCATAAACCCAGTGTTTAAAACCTAGTGAAAGCAATTTCCTGTGTGCTGTTTCCCTCTTACCCTCATTCCCATTAATAACCGGAACAGCATAATGGGCCTTTGACTACTTGTGGTTTGGCAGGTAGACATTCCCAGCAGTTTCTCCATAGATTGATTCATTTAAGGGGAAAAATAAGTTTAATTTTTAAAAAGAAGAATATAATTGGCTTAGCCTTTTACAGAATCACAATTTTTTTCAACTAGCTTTGGAAGTTAAATTTCTCAAAGTATCTGAAATGGAAAATGCAATTTCTAGCTCACTGGCATGAAGAAAGATCTTGAAGCAACAGAGGGACAAACAAACATGGATCTAGAATGACCAGACTGGATCCTATCAGGTGCTTCTAAACATGGTGACATGGAGACAAATGTACACTCATAAAAAAGAAAGATGCAAACTGACTGTAACTTCCTGACACCCACCAGCCAATCAGGAGTACGTATGCAAATTGACCCAACAAAGATGGTGGGTTAATTTGCATACACAGGTGCCCAGTGGCCCAGGCATCTCTTTGCATTGCCCCAGCTGCTCAGGGCCTCTGGGCAGGGTGGGAAGGAAGAAAGGCAGCTCCAGGTGGAGCGAAGGCAGAAAGGCAGCTCTGGGCCAGAGCAAAGGCTGTGCCAGCATCCAGTGTAAGGAAGGCCCATTCTGCCCAAATCTTAGTGCATCAGGCATCCAGGATAGAAATAAAAGCTTTCTTTAAAGAAAAACTAAAAAACAAAACAAAACAAAACAAAACAAAAAGAAAAACACGAAAACTTCTGTTAGTCTTAAAAGGAGTAGCCATTTATAACTCACTATGGAAACAATGGATCATTATGTTAACCCATATTTCTGAGCCAGATTAAAGGAGGGAGCTGAATCTATTATCTTGATGCTTTACACTCATTGCTGATGATCTATCTGGACTAGTTCCACATTTCTGAGACACTTGGTATTCAGCCCCAAGGTTCTGCCTTCCAAATCCTGGAATGGATATTTAAAACACCTTGACCTTGATATGTGTTTGTGGATTCAGCATGCTATTTCAGATATGGAATTTATAGGCTAACTTTTTTACATTGATTAGAACCCTTATTAGTGTGACTTTTGAAGAAGTTAAGGTGTTACTCTATTCCATGTATATCATAGTACAGGAATCAGAAACCATGAGCAGGTTTGCATGTGTGGACAGAGCTGGTTTCATGGGCATGCACAATTCTTTAGGATCTCACCCTCAGAAGGCCACAAAGTTGTTTTAATGCTCTGCTGTTTCCATGTTTAATTTCTTAATAACTTTTTAATGTTTTAATTACTTTAGAGGGAGAGGAAAAAATATAAATAGAGAGAAGCATTAATCGGTTTCCTCCTGCACATGCCCAACTTGGGATGGAACCTGTAACCTGGATAGGTGCCCTGACCAGGAATTGAACCTGCAATCTTTTGATGTACAGAACAGGGCTCCAACCAACTGAGCCACAGGGGCCAAGGGAAATTTCTTAATCATTTTTAACAAGAGGTCTGACAGTTTCATTTTATAACGGGCTCCCCAAATTATGTAGCCAGTCCTGTATATAGGCAAGAATTATTGTTCTTGGAGAGAGATGTGGCTCTGACTGCTACTAGTTGAATGAAATTTTGTAAATTTGGTTAAAAAATTAAGTATTTGATCTAGAGACAAAATGACTTGTTTAAAATCCCAGTTTTACTACTCTGGCATTAGGCAAGTTACTGAAACCCTTGGGAACGTATTTCCTTCTCTGTTGAATAAGGTCAATAAAAATAGTAAGAGCAAATTAATTTAAAATTCTTAGAATAATACCCTGCACAGAGTGTTTGTTAGTATTATTGCAATTACTTTAGTGTCCTTATTTGTAAAAAGAAAGTGATAGTATCTACCTGCATGTTTGCTGTTAAAATTAAACGATATACACCCAACATCTAGCACAGATTCTAATTCATAGTTTCCATGAAGCACATCTAATACATATTATTTCCCCAACAGAGACTATCTTTAGTTATAGATTTTTAGTTAGTTACTATAAAATGTCAATTTATTTAAACCCACAGCTATTACATAAAAAAAAAATCAGAAACTTTTTAAAAAACTATATTAAAATATAAATCATGTTTGCAACAAAAATAAATTATGTTCAATATGAAATTGAAACTAGAAATATCTATTAAATATTGTACCCATAAAATTTATCTTACTGATTTCAGCAGCTATAATGGTAAGATTGTGCCATTGAGATAGTTCACGGTCAAGTGGCTTTGATATATAAAGGGATCCATTTCCAGAATGTATATTGAAGATCCTGTCAAGGTCAGTATGACGATCCAAGGAAAATCTGAACAAAGAGGGCCAAGAAAAATAGGTGGTAGTGTTATTGATGGTTTGTAGGATAAAATGGTAAAATGCAAAGACACACATGTGGGGATATATAATCATTTGAGGAATGTACATAGTATTGATCTAGAACACAGATCATTTTATCAATTTATCACACATACACACACACACACACACACACACTCACACACACTCACACACAAACACACCTCTTCTCAATGCCTTATCTATTTCCATATCAAACAGGCCTTGAGGTATTTTCTGACAAAACAGCTGGTATGGCCTATGCTAACATTATCAACTTACTTTACCTAGTTTTTGAGAATTCTGTTGAGGAATTATCATAAGGAGCCAGAAGCAAAATCATTTTCTTAGAAAATTGGAGACAATAATAGTTTCCTCACAGTAGTAGTTCAACAATTTATGATGTTTTTTTTTCTCTAGTTCATGGTCTGATTACCTATATAGTTTCAGTTTCTTGACCAAATGTATCATTGAAATATATATGAATCAGAGATGTCTTTAAAAACAGAGAAGTTTGGGATAGAAGTTTTTATACATTTATATAAAATTAAGCCTTAATATATACATGTATTCTGCAAATTGATTAAAGGCATTATGTTGGATATCATTCTAGAGCCAAATAGAAGGTTTATCAATCAGGTTGATATACTTTGGATGATTGCATTGTTTTGTTTTTTTTGGTATAGGTCAAGGTTTCAAACAGCTTTACCCCTCACCGGTTGCATAGTGGTTTACAAATATTTCACAGTTCTTGAATTAACAAGCATAACCCCCAAGTTATATTTGATACTGTATATTTAAAAAAGGCAAAACAAAGATGATAAGACCAGGAGTAATATTGAATTATAGTATATCTTTTCCTACACCATACTGTCATTTATTTTAAAGAAAAAATTAATAAAACATTGTCTCAAAGTGTGTTCAATAATACAAATAATTAAATGGTGCCATAAAACTCTTCCCTTGTAGTGTCTCAAAATTGTATAATATTAACCAAAATCAAAGAAAATGTATTTAAATCAGTTCTAAATAGAACATACCAGTAATTTATAAATCTCCTTAGTAAACTCTAGCTTTTTTCTATTAACATAATATGAATTCAGTTTCATATTCAAACTACACATCTTACCACTTACAAATAAAGCAAAGCATTGTGTCACTTTATCTGGAATAATTCACAAATTCTATCCCAAGCTGACAAAATTCTTTTACTTCCGAAAGAACATACGTTACTCCTTCCTTAGAGTGTTTCATTATTACCTGAAGTAGAATCTATTTGCTCTCACCTATCACAAAGTACCTTTCACCACTCATCCCTGTCATTTACCACACTGCAGTAGGAATTAATTTCATCTCACATCTCATACAGAAAACCAGACATGAAAACACCAAGCATCTTCCTTGGCATCTAGTGGGCACTCAGTGAAAATTATATCTCATACTAAGTCATCTTCCTTAACAGATTAAGAACTCCTTGAGAAAGACATGAATATCTGATATGGTGATCCAAAAACATTAGTTGCATTCTTTGGCATAAGTGGCAAATTATAGGGTTCCTTATTTCTATAGAAATATGACATGAAGTTGCAATATGTAAATCAATATAAAACATCATTTTGTTCACCAAATGTATGAATGCATATTTTGTTTCAATTTTTTTTTTTTGTAATTTAGTTTAAGGAATAAGGACACAATTTAGAGGACTATGTAAAATTATCTTGAAGATACAGAGACCCTGGCTCTCCTTCAAACTTGATACAATTAAAATTTTTAATTACTTATTGTTAATTTGTATGTTCATTTTCCTTTTATAAGTCATTTTCAAAACACATTTTAAGTAGATCCTGTGAATTATTGCTTCAAGATCCACAATATATGACAATTTATAACATATCCAATATTATCCATCCTGTAATTACATTGCATTAATATAGCTACTTTATTTCTTTAAAAATACTTTTAACTTCAATGGTCTTTCAAGGATGTTCACTTGCATTTTCTAAATCATAGTGACATAAATTCAAATATACAACAACATTCATGGTATAGTCTGTCATTAACAATCAATGCAGTTATTAATTCTATTGCACATAGGATACATAAATGGATCCTTTTCTCCTTGTCCTGATACTTGCATCCTGGTTAAATATTTTTTTTGTTTCAAAAATCCATGGACATATTTTGACATAAAATAATTATCAGTCAACAAGAGGATGAAAAATCCATTTCATTGTGTGGAGAAATCTCTTTATGTTTGCCAGTTAACAATGCAACTAGATTTAAATTGAACTCTTTTAAAATATTATATTTCTGAGGGTTTTTTTAAAGGTCATTTTAAAATCAGGAACATAGAGCACAGCCTGTTAAAGTCAGTTGGGAGCTATGCCAAGAAAATGCTGGGGAAGTATTCAAAGAGAAAGATTAAATGTGTACGTTGGTTATTTAAAAGTTTCAAAGAGAAAAAAAATTAAAAAATGCAGCCATTTCAATGAAGATAAATGGATTGGAGAAGAGGCATTTATGGGAAGGTGATGCTGGCAGATGGTAGCTTTACATGATTACGATGTACATGTTTCTTCTGACAATATGTAACCTGCGGTGCTGTATGTGAATAGAAGAAAATATTTGGGTAAAATTATATAAATCAAATAGTAATGTTAATAATATAAAGTATGACTTCACTGAAGATTTGCAGAGTCAGGTGGCACATGAAGTCAGAGGCTCTCTAGATTGCACTGCTGCAAACTTAGAAGGCAGAGGACAGTGCACATGGAAACCACCAGCATGTGAACTCCTGTGTGATGGGTCCGCGTGGAACAAGGGTCAAGCAGAATCTGCCTGCTGAGAATTAGGGAAACACAGGAGGTCCAAAATACATAGCAGACGGACAGTTTAAAGCGAACAGTCATTTTAATGCTGAGTGCTATATATAGTGCATCTGTATTTCTCTACAATGATACAAAACATAGGGAAAACTTTGAGTCTTTCATATTTTCCTGCATTTATCATGTCTCATATGTTTTCAGGCTGCCATTTACTCTTATCTTCCTGGAATGTTCTAATAGTTGTCGATCAAGCCAAACAATAACCAAAAACACTTCTGCTTTGATGGCAGGAGTATGGAGTGATTTCTAACACTACAATGTAACCGCATTGAAACACTGCTATATTTATTTAATTGATTTTTTTTTACAGAGAGGAAGTGAGTTAGAAACATCGATGAGAGAGAAACATCAATCAGCACACCCTCTACTGGGGATGTGCCCTCAACCAAGATACATGCCCTTGACCAGAGTCGAATCTGAAGCTGGAACCCTTGAGTCTGCAGGGTGACACTTTGTCCACTGAGCCAAACTGGTTAGGGCTCTAATGATATTTTTAAGTGTTACAGCTCCTTTCAATTTCACATATTCTTTAAGAACTTGAAAGCACAAATAATGTGATTTAGTTGTATTGTAAATGTACAGATGCAATAGTAAAATTGTGCCTTTTTTCTATACCAAGGTTCAGAGCGACAAATATTTTACAGAGACAAGCAGATGATACTTTTGGTCTCAAGGTCACGATTAGAACTAAAGAGAACTATGAAACTTGTTCTTGGCCTGACCCAAAACAGAGACATCATGTACAACTTATTGAGAGGCCCTCTTACATTATGCTTTCAATATAATTTCATAACCTCTATATTTACTTCAGTTCTGTTTCTGTTCATCTGAGACATATGCATAATTACCTAATGGTGCTAGAAGTCGAATCGGGGTCCCTGGCCATTACAGTCCCAATGATTGTGCCCACTTCAATGTCTTCATGAACCTCAAACAGATAGGAGGATCTGCTAAAAACGGGAGGCTCGTCCACATCTTCTATAGAGATTTTGACAATCGTTGTATCTTTAAACGGCCCTAGATAATAAAATCGTGGATCCACATGGGTATTTTCTGCTTCCACCTTCAAAGTGTAAAGTCTTCGGCTCTCAAAGTCAAGTGGCTGTTTAATAAAAAATAAACCATGAAATTCGAGTGAGGGAAAACAAGCAGATGTTCCTTCCAAGTTACAGTGTGATTTTTAAAGCATGATTGAGTTCTAAGCTGTCCATTAACTGTAAATAAATAAAAGTAATTTAAATGTATTAGCACATCAATAAGATTCAGTTTTACTTTTTAATATATTCAATGTGTGTTACCTTAGACTCTAAGGCTTAGAACATAAGAAAATGGAATTTTAAATCTTGGAAAAATTAGAAAGGATTAAACCCAAGGTGATGACAAAGTTGGGATGAAAGACTATATGTGGCGGAGGAGAGGAGGGGAGGGTTGAGGTGTTGGCCATTGCTAATTTTTTCTAAGAAAAAATTCAATTATCTTTTTAAATTTACGTAGTGATATTGTTATTCAGTTTAATGGGCAACTGGTACATTAAGAAAAGTTTGAAGACTAATATAAAACTTTCAACAGTTATTTGAGATTCCACCTGCATGACTATTACTTCCCCGTCATGAAAAGTAACAAGAAAGCTGCTTTCCCCTTTGCTGTTACTGTCCATTTAAAAGTGGCTGTGTTCCTTGGGCCGTGCAATAGAATGTCAGGGTAGTTTTGTGATTAACCAGTGCTAAGGTGGTCACTTTACGCATAGAGTGCTTAGGATCTTTCATTGGATCTAAATTTTATTGTGTCTTATTTTTTTATACTGATGGTACCGACTCTAATAAAACAACAACAACAACTCTTAATAGTTACCTTTAAACCATATTAATAAACATATTTTGGCAGAAAAGTTTAATTTATGTAGCAGAAGGGAAAGTGTGAACAACTAAGTTATCTTCCAATCCACGCTATTTATTCTTATTAGCAACTTAATTATTACTGCATAGGTCTGGATAGAAAGTATGCTACTTTTTGTGCCTCCAACAGTGATAACATATTGACATCACTAGCTATTAACTATTTTCTTTAAGAGAATATTATTATAGAAGGCTTTTATTAATGTGGCTCAGAAATATAACCACACATACAGGATGGGGCAGAAATAATATTATAGTTGTGACTATGTGAAACTCAGAGTTTATTCTTGTATTATTATTTACTAGTTAGTGTTATTTCCCCATATGAACAACTGTAATCCCATTTTGCCCCACCCTGTATATTAACATGCCTTGTAAATTTTGTGAAATCCAAGGTTTCTTGTTTCAATAAAGAAAAAATAATTGATCAAAATGTCCAAGGTCTTTGGCTTTACGTTTCTCAGACCATGCACGATATAATTTACACTTGAACATTATGGTGAGATTTCTGAATGGATAATGCATGCGTGGAGACTACATATTGAAATCTCTCCTTTCTACAGTCAAGTGTTTATGTATGCTGATGGTGTGCACCTTTTTCACAGTTATGATGCCCTCCTGTGTGTCCTTCTCAGTTATGATGTCAAACATGTCAGTCCCATCACCATCAATAATTCGGTATTCAACTTCAGCATTTTTTCCAGTGTCAGCATCAGTTGCTTTTACACTTCCAACAGCTGTGCCAACTGGGGAGGATTCAAGTACTCGAAGATGGATGGTGTCTGCAGAGAATAAAGAAAATGAGAAAATGAGAGAGAGACAGAGACAGAGACACAGAGAGAAAGGGGTTTCTCAATAGAATATTCAAAGGTAAATGTGTTATGAGAGAACATTATAAATATTAAACACGGCATGATGTTAACTGATTAATTTTAATATACATAATAAAATTATATTAAATTAAAGTTTAAGGACAGAAAAGAAGAACTTTGGGGGATTTGTCCATGCATATTATGAATAGCAAGTACCAACCTCTAATCGTATTAGCGATTTGTCTTTTTTTGCATTTGCAGAAATAACTAGACATCAGCTTTGCGTGAAGATATGCATATATGTGTTTATGTAGTTATAACAAACTACAGAATAAGCAATGAATGTTTGTTAATTGTTGCTCCTCTGTTGTATTTAGTTACATACTATTCAGCTTGCTGGCAGCAGAACATTACAAAATTCCAAGAAATAAACCATAATCAGGAAGAATCCTGATTCTTTATTATTTCTATTTGTGACAGAAGAAACAAAGGTTAGTCTGTGGGAGAAATACAAAGTGCCCTTCACAGTATCAATATAAAAACACTAAATTGTGACAAACTACCCTACATTTCTGAGCAAAACAAGAATCTATCTAATCCCCTCTTGCATATAGATGTGTTTCCAGCTTGAACAAACTCTACAGCTAATGAGATTTATATTTTAGCTCTTGATCTTGAACTATGTTACTACAGATTAACAGACCCGAAGCACCTCTGATTACAGCAGTTTCTTGCTCATAAGCCTTAAGCAATTCCCCTTAATATACATAATAAAGTCCAGAATGCTTAAATATGGAGGCTCTGGCCTGAGTATATCTTTCTTAATGTATTTTTTCCTTCAACATGTCCAAGAAAGATTTTCTCCAAACTGGACTTTTCTAAGTGTTCTTGTCAACATTTGATTTCCTACATCCCCCTTTACACTTTTTGCATGCTACTTCCCTCATGTAAAATCAGCCACAGCCCCCCTTCCCCCGGGCCACCATTACCTGCATAATGCAATTAAACAAACCTGATAAAACGGCATTGTCATTGGCTGGGTATTTGGGACCCTCAAAATTTATACATTGAACCTTGATTCCCTAGATTGTGCGTGCAGTGCAGAGTTTTTATACACAACATTCACACCTTCTGTGCTGTTTATTTATTTTGCTACACATTCCATATTTATGATGTATTTGGTGTGGTTGCTTGGTATGGCTGTATTTCACATATATTCTAGATTTGAGACTAAAGAACCATGGTACTGCAGATTTTAACAGAAACCAGATTTTACAAAATACTGGTGCCAAAATTTCTGGTCAGGTCTCAATTCCTTGTCTTACAAAATGAAAGAATTTTTGAACAGTGAGCATATTAAAAAATGGTAGTAAAGGGAGTAAATCTTGTTTATATATGCAAATATGTCAAAAAGCCAAAAAGGATGGTATCTATTTGTATTAGAAATAAGACATCTAATTATGTCTTTAATATAAAAAAGTAAATAACAGTAAGTTATTTTCTATTAATATGTTAATTGAGCTTTGCTTTAGAATTAAAATATCTGTATCTTTCAAAAGGAATTTAGAGCTGAAACTGGTTTGGCTCAATGGTAGAGCATCGGTTTGTGGACCGAGGGGTCCTGGGTTTGATTCCGGTCAAGGGCATATACTGGTTGCGGGCACATCCCCGGTAGGGGGTGTGCAAGAGGCAACTGGTCAATGTTTCTCTCTCATCGACATTTCTAGCTCTTTATCTCTCTCCCTTCCTTTCTGTAAAAAATTCAATAAAATATATTTTTTTTTAAAGGAATTTAGAGTGCTATGATTTACAATAATAGTATTTAAAACCTTTCAGCATAAGAGAAAATCTTATACTGTAATAGAATAGAAGCATTTCAATAGGAACACTATGATACTAGAACCGATTACAACCTGTTCTTGTAAGTCAGCTGCACATTTTGTTTTAATTGTTGTCACTCAGAAAGGCTTAGAATCCCACTTCAATGGCATGAATCAAAACCCTGATGCCCAAACACTTGTAATTAGTAGTGTTTTTCTATAATATAAACCAAGTCTTCTTAGAGATTTGTTCTTCCTAAATTTGAGGAATGAAAAGGAAATTGAGGTCAGGATTTTTTGAGATAAAAATTCGGTGCTCTATCAGAGATTAATTGGATCATAAAAAGTACAAAGAATCCAATCTTCTTTCCTCTACTGGTCAGCAACTTGAAATTTGATCATTTGTAAGATCATTTAGTTGATTAGAATACATTAAGTTAGACTTGGTTTCTGGCAGTGTAAGCTAGATAATTCAGTTCAACTTTGTAACTTGAAAACAGTCTTGTGGGTCATAGATAAAGACAGAGATGCAAGGTATTAAAAATAAGTACAAACTCCAAATGAAAAAGAAAAGAAAACCCAGACACACACACACACACACACAGGGGAGGGAGGGGGGAGAGAGAGAGAGAGAGAGAGAGAGAGAGAGAGAGAGAGAGAGAGAGAGAACAAAAGATAAAAGGAAACATTTCATTGTTTAATTAACTTTACTGTCACTTAGATTTCACTCTATTGTCTCTGAGAATTTGTTCTCCCCCCTACCCCCCTTTTTTTAGCTTGGACTTTTTTGGAAACTACTTGTATTTTTAGGCACATGCTTAAATTCTGAAAAATCTGCCTGCTTATTATAGTTCTGGCCAAGGATCCAAAGTTATCACTTCAGACTACCTTCATCCCAAAGTTTATTTCATTTTCATTGGAGTAAGCTTTATCCATGTTAATTTCCAGTACCTTCTGAGACTCAACCAGGGAAGTGATGATGCTACATTGGTTCATATGTACTTTATAAGCCTAAAGTGTAGAATAGTTCTCTTCCTCAGTAATTTGTTGGAAGGGACATAAACACACACACATACACAGACAGCAGTTGAGTTGTGTGTGTTAATATATGTACATCCATATATTTAATTTCCCCAGAAACATTAATAAACGTGTTTTCAAAGTATCCATGATTTCCAGAAAAGCCATGATTGATCCATTCATCAAAATAGTATAGATTTAGTTATTTTGTTAAGTAATTTGAAAAGCTCTATTATAAATATTGAGGGTATATATGTTGTATACACACCTACAATACACGCATCCATGATTGTTTTGATTGTATGGTAACTTTAGTAGTTAATCTATTCAACACATATTTATTCGGTGCCCAAGATAAATAATTCAAGAATGCTTTCTCCGGAATTACGTTTATGCTCATATACCAACGTGGTGACAAGATTTATTGGGTCTATCAATTTTAAAGTTAAAATGTACATTTCTATATTTTAAATGGATGAAAGAGCTACTTTTATTTATTTGCAAGACTAGTCTGCTGAAGACAACCATCCTAGTTTGCTAAGCAAAATGCAATTACTTTAATTAAGAGCCTGCAAGGGTGTTCACTCAGAGGGCAAGCAGCAGGGGGGTATCCAGAAAGGAGCCAGATTGCTATGCACACCCTGACAAAGGGAAAATAGTGCCTGTCACCCACCTTAGTTTTTATCTTACAGTTGATGGAGCTTTAATTATGTGGTGTGCTTCCCGTTTTCCTATCAACTCCAATTTACAGTTATTTTAAATTCATCCCCAGGTGTCAGGATGAATCATCTGCCTCTCTTGTAATGCTTAGGGCAGATAAATAGTTCTTCCTGACGACTGTGTCTTTGGTTTGGTTATCAATGTGAGTACAAAGGCATAAATATGAGGAGGAGAGAGGTAACTGCCATTTCTGTGAAACGTGGGGGAAGTTATATTTAGAAGTAAACGTCTAAAAAAAAAAAAGTAATATTGCAACAGCTTCCAGGGCCTGGACAAAATACATGGCTCTTTAAATAAGTGCATTTGGAGACTGCTGCTGACAAGCTCACACATTGGACTTGTCATTAACATTTTTATTTTTGAATAAAAAATTTCAAACAATTTTGATATCTTTTAGGCCTTTTGGGAATCGAGACTAAGTATTCCAGGTCACCTGTTCTAGCCAACATTTTATCAATAGGACCTTTTCACTTGAATGTTAAAAACACTGCAGATTTAACCGGGACCGGTTTGGCTCAATGGATAGAGCGTCGGGTTGGGGACTGAAGGGCCCCGGGTTCAATTCCGGTCAAGGGCATGTACCTTGGTTGCGGGCACATCCCCAGTAGGGGGTGTGCAAGAGGCAGCTGATCAATGACTCTCTCTCATCGATGTTTCTAACTCTCTATCTCTCTCCCTTCCTCTCTGTATAAAAATCAATAAAAAATATTAAAAAACAAACAAACAAAAAAAAAAAACACTGCAGATTTAGTGCCAGAACTAGAAGTAATTGACTGCTCACTGTAAGAGGCTTCGGAGGAAAAACATGATAGGCTTCCTGAGAGATGGGAGAGGATGAATTCCTCGGGAAAGACCAAAGAGATGCCAGGAGAAGTCAGAGAGGGCAACAAGGTCAAGGTTGGGTTTGAGGTTGGCTACAAATAACCGCCCCTTTGTTTTACTGACAAAGAACAATGAGGTTCAAAGGGGGATTTATATGTGTTCATGTGTCTTTTTTCTTTGTTCCTGCCCTTGTTTCTATCCACATTTGCATAAGAAGCCTGCTTTTCAGAGTTGAGATAAAAAAATAAAACAAACAAAAAAAAAACCCCACACATATATGAATCAAGATGATAATTTAACATTAGTTTAATTTTTTAAATTTGTTTTATGTGTCATCTTATTGTAGCATCGCTAGGCTGCATAATAATCTCCAACAGCACTTGCTTTAAGAAAAATGACACAATTATGCACGTTTATAAAGCATCCCATTGTATAATGTTTAAAATATGTTTTTTAATGAGCTTAACAGGAAGACATTAAAAACAAGATAAAGCTCCTTGGAGGGAACTGGGAGTAGTTAAGGAAATTATGCAACGCTAAATGGCACTGAGGAGAAAGGAGAGGAGAGCTCAAAGTCACATCGGAGAC